GGCCTCTCTCGACACATGCCATCCCGTAATTAGTTTAGCTGCTCCTTCTGTTGCAAGTGTGAGGTCGATTGTTGAGCGACAACGTTTGTTTATGAAAGTTGGTTCAGAACCTGTGTTTAAAATGGTTAGGTTAGTGCTAAATAGATATTCAACTAACACCTTACCTCGTTCATTCGGTCTTTCCATTCCCCAGAAGGGATGATGTGCATTGGAGTCCGTCCCGATCACAACCTCTAGTCCGGTCCTCTCGCAGAAGTTCACCAGCCTGACGAGGTCATGAGGGGGAGGAGTGTCTTCCTCCGGCATGTAGACCGAGGCGACGACTAATCTTCTCTCCTGTGTATATTATATTGCCACGGTATACATGTCTCTAGAACAGAAATCTGTTAATGGTTGTGCACAGATATGTTTAGTAGTATAAATACACGCTCTAGGCTTGTCGTGTTCAGAGCTGTAGTATAGCTTACCTTTTAGGTTGTTTAGGCCTTTAATTTTACCAGCCCCAACCCACGGCTCCTGGATTAAGACTATGGCCGACCTTTGAACCTCCAGCAGTTTCGCTGTGGTGGAGGTTGGCCTGCACTAGGCTAGTTTTGGACGAAGGGCACGCCATCATTGATCGCGTCCTCCCCGTCCTCGCCCAAAAATAAGCCTGCCAGCATATCTCGGGTTTCATCGTCAGCCACCGAGTCGGAAGTGGTCGGCAAAATGCAGTCCTCTTCGTCACTCAGTGAGCTGCCGCTGAGCCCGACCTCTACTGGGGGCTTCGGCTCAATTGTGCAGGCCGTTTTTCCACTGGACTTGGCCTCCAGTGATTCCACTGTGTACCGGTAGCCGTGGCTCCGGTATCCATGACTTCCGGGTAATTTTTTGCCTTTTTGCTTGGTGGAGTGTCAAAGAATTCACCTCCACGACCCAGGAATTTTACGTATACCGCCCCGCATACACATGCGAGACGGCGTCCGGCTTTCATCAGGGTCGGGATATGATCTGCCGGCACCGAAACAACGAGGAACCACCCGTCCGTCTGCTTATCTGCCTTGATTAACAGCCAGTCCCAGATGTTAACCCAGCGGTTCTGGTACGCCAGCACACGACCAATGTCGCGTGAGTCTTTCCAGGCACCCTTTTTTTTGTTTTTGCGGATGGAAAATCATCAAATGACGCCTTTCGCTCTGGGTGGAGCGGAAGGGAGTGTCAGACTTTTACTGACTAAAAACCATCCGTGTTCCTTCAGTGCCCTTACGTTCCGGAGCCGCGGTATCTCTTTCGAACAGCCCGCAGCCCCGGCAGGCGTCGGCTCTTGCGGGCCCCTTCACGCTGCTGACAGCTCTTTGAGGCGCGCGTGGAACAAAACGCGCCGTCGACACGGCCTGTCGTCGTTAGACGGACGGACGGCGAGCTACCCATTGCTCGCCGTCCACAGGCCTGCGCCTACGGTGGCCGGGGGCCACGACGTAGCCCCCGACGCCCGGGGCGTCTCCCGCGGCGGCCGGGAAGGAAAGCTGCTGCTCTCTCCTTCTCCCGCTCCGCCACCTCCTTCGCTAGCATCACTGCTTCGCAGAAGGTGGTGACGGCATCCCATTCCGTCTCGATCCGGACCATGGCTTCGACCAGGGCCGGACGCGAGAGGTCGCCGCCGCCTATCGCCGTTCGAGGACACGGCGGTGCTCCGCCCAGGCAGGGCACACCTCCACGGTGTGCTCCACCGTGTCCTCCGGTCGATCCTCGCAGTGGGAGCACCCGGGCGTTTCCTCCCGCCCGATTCGGTGCAGGTACCTCCCGAACACACCGTGTCCGGTGAGGACCTGCGTCAGGCGGAAGGTGAGGACGCCGTGGCGTCTCTCAAGCCACTCCTCAAAGAGGGGTCTTATCGCCGCTATAGTGGCGTGCCCAGCACGGGGTTGCGACAGTCGCTCTCTCCATGTCGCCATGAGATCATGCCGGAAGTCTGTCCGCTGCACGACAACTTGCCGCGGCAGCGGGGTTTCCCCCCGGCATAGTGCCTCCGCGCGCCATTCGTGCAGGCGCGCGAGGACTATCGCCTCCAGATCCCATGGCGGCAATCCGGCAAGGAGGCACGCTGCCTCGCGGGGGATCGTGCGGTAGCCGCGAACCATTCTCACGGCAACCACCGTTTGGGGCGCGTTTAGGTGGTGGACGGCAAGCCGCGCCAAACCACGCGCCCACACCGGGGCCCCGTAAAGGGCCATGGACCGCACAATCCCCGCGTAGAGCCTCCGGCAGGAGGCGTTTGGCCCCCCCAGGTTCGGCAGGAGCCGCCTGAAGGCAGCCCCGGTCCGTTCCAGTTTGGGAGCCAAACGTCGGAAGTGCTCAACGAAGTTCCATCGGCCTTCGAAGTTCCATCGGCACCCTGGGTATCAGGGATAAGGATACCACATTTGACTCTTTGTGGTATCTCCGACTGTTTCTATATGGTATGGAGGTGTTGGATTTAAGGTCGAGGGTAGCAATATTCCCCTTCAACCAATCCAGGGCCTTCTGATCGTCGCACCACAGTTTCAGGACACCCTCCGTGTAAACGGGTTTGCCTCTAAAAACTGGGCCCGACGCATCAGGGTCCTGGCTACTCCAGGCCTCGCTGATCATCTTCCTCTGTATTGCCACGAGGATGTCGTCAGCTACTTCCTTCGTAATGTGACCTGAACGCGCACACGTTAAGGCCACACCCAAATCTGCTTTAGCAGCGGAAGCGTAGCTTGTTCTTGCTGCGTTTGGTTGCTGTTCGAGTCGCACTTTTTTGTGCTCACCTCTCGGCGGGGTGGACTCTTCCAGCATCCTTTTGGCTGCCCTTTCCTTCTTTCCAGGGCGTTTGGCCGCTGGAAAGTCCAGCGCGGAAGTTGTCCCCTTGGTGGGGCCACCTACGCTGGACGGTACTGTCCGTGGAACCGCCGGTTTAATGACGGTTCCCCCTTGTTCTTTGATGTCTCTGGTAAGCACCTCTGACACCTCTCCCTCTTTCTTATTGGGCCTTAAATTGTCCATTAGTTTCGTGTTTTAAAATTCGTCTCCCCGACTTCCCACCCACCATGGAGCCCGCACCTTTGGGAACGCCTTACTTTAAAAAATAATTTCAGGCGTCAGGATTACCGGGAGAATATAGGGATGCGAAGTTGGCTTACAGCGCGACATCGGGACCTCGATCCAGCTGGTAAATGGGGCTGACAAGGCCCATCCCCACTACCCGAATAAACTGTCACTCCGTCAGCATGGCCTTTACCACCACCCAGCCCCTTTTCAGGAAAACTAGGCAGCCCCCGCATCCCTCGCCTGCGACCATCTGACGGGGCGCTTGGCCATTTCCCTACCTGTGGCAAGCAGATAGGGCCACCGTTTAGCTTGAAATCCGGAGCAAAGAAGGCGTGTTGCCTTTCGCCACTATATACCCCAGCGACGATCGGCTCAACCCTCCAGGACTCCTTCATCTCCGCGTACGGCGCTCGACTGCGCAGGTCCTAGCGCAGGTGGGTGTGATAGTCCACCGGATGCACCTACTCTCTCCGGCGGATATCCTCATTTCTAAGTTTATCACGCAGAGAAACTCCGAGCATAGCCCTCTCCATAGCTCGCTGAGCGACCTTGAGCTTCCTCATCCAGCCAGCGGTGAAGAACCACGTCTCAGTTCCATAGGTCATCACTGGCAACACGCACTGGTTGTACAGTCTCGTTTTCATGTTTTGAGGTATACCTGACGAGAAGATGTGTCGTAATTTCCCGAACGCTGCCCAACCGAGTTGAATCCGTCAATTGACCTCTCGGTCGAAGTTGGACTTACCTAGTCGGACTATTTGTCCCAGGTAAACATACTCGTCAACAACTTCGAGCTTTGTGCTCCCGACAACCCCAGCAACTACTGGCATAGGTGTGACATGGACAATAAACATGATCTTTGTTTTGTCCATGTTCATATTAAGACCTATCCTTTGGGAAACACTATTGAGGTCATTGAGCATAGTGTTTAGGTCCTCCAGCGATTCTGCAATAAGGACTATATCGTCGGCAAATCGAAGGTGAGTGATGTACTCGCTATTGATGTTAATACCGTATCCTTTCCAGCCCAGAAGCTTGAAAACGTCTTCCAATGCAACGATGAAGAGTTTCCGGGATGTAACGTCCCCTGTTTTACACCTTTCAGCAATTGGATAGGTTTCGTACTCTGGTTCTGTACTCTGATAGCCATCGTAGCCCTACTGTACAAGCACTTCAGCACTTCAATATACCGACAGTCAACTTGGCACCGGTGAAGGGACTGCAGAACCGCCCAAATTTCGACGGAATCAAAGGATTTCTCATTGTCCACATACGCCAGACGTAGTGGCAAATTGTACTCCTCGGACTTCTGTACTATTTGCCGAAGGGTATGTATGTGGTCTATGGTGCTAAAACCTTTTCGGAAACCGGCTTGTTCGGGAGGCTGGAAGTCGTCAAGATTGCGCGCGAGACGATTCGTAATGACTCTCGGAAACAGCACGTAGACGCGGTACAGTAACTTGGATAAACAGTAGCTTTGATGGGAAAAACTATTCTGATGGCTTTTTGTGAAATAAAGTCTGTCTTCTTTTTCTAAGATGTACTAATTTTGTTATAATATGTATAATTATTGGTCATGTCATAGTATTTTAATCATTGACATTTAAGTTTGAAAGTTAATAAAATATCTAAAATAATATTGTAATATCATATCTTGATGGTAAGACCTTTATGTAGGAAATGAGCTCTGGGGAATAATTAACACAGAAGAATCCTTACTATTGATTACCAGTGGCGTTCTGTTATTCAAATATTAAATGATGATCTTTAGCAAAATATCTTTTATACTTTAATGTTGTAGTTTCGAGATTAACGTCTCATGGTGAAAATGTCAGAAGGCCTTCTAAAAGTAACAGAAATACCCAGAAGCATCTTGCGAATAATATAATATTTTATATCAACTCAACTTTTTTTTATTTATTAAGAATTTGTCGCAATTACTTTTACAGACTTGCACGTCAATACGTCTATGCAATCATCCAAGGTCGAACAGTTGAAGAATGTTTTCAAGATGAACAAATTAAATTGGCAAATGAAACCAATAAAATATCTGGCTATATTTCCGCCACTGCATATCAGCAAATGAAGACCAGACAGGTGCCGGCACCATCTACATTGACGTCCCAAATTAAGGAGAATACTGGTTCAAATTTATCCATAAAACAAGATCAATCAAAAAGCGCCTCCAAAAACATTTTACAGGATAAACTTGTTAATATAGACCACAACTCCAATAGCAGCAGTGGAATCAGCATGTTCGATAAAGTCGGATTATACAAGTCCAACTCGATGCCGTCATTCGAAGATGCTGCTAAAATGAGAGCAAGGAGACAAATTAGTTTTGATAGTGTAGACTTTCCAAAGAGGTGATGCAATTTGCACTGTGATACTAACTGCGAGTTTTGTGACATTTATTGAGTGTTTTCTAGCCTATATCGGAGTGTTTAAGTTAAGTATCAATGTTAGTTTAATATATTGACTTAGTAAGTTTTATTTTATCTCCAATTATTTATTTGTATTGAAATTATAATTAAAAAATTCACTGTGTGGTGTCCTCATGATGTAAGAAATTTACCATATAAAAAAAAAAAACAAATTAAAAAATATCTTTGGTCCTGGGTAAGCATTTTATGACCTTAACATCTCAAAGATTCATTAAAATATGACTGCCAATTTTCATAAACATTAAATGTAAATTTAAAAAAAAAAATCTAGCTGTAAATATGTGGCTACTCTGGTAATAAAAAGTATTATTAACATATGTAATTGAGCATGTGGTTTTTTAAAAAGCTATAAAGAATCTCTGAAGAATTGTTCAATGACATATACAGAGTTATTTTTCTAAGAGTAACCAAATTTTAAACTTTAGTTCAAATATATAAATAATGATATACCGTTAATGTAGTTTTTGAAAATACGAGTAAATAAAGCTTCTATTTTTATTTGAAGTTATTCCAAATTGAATGTGATTTATGGGCAACAAGTTCTTTTTTACCGATCGATGCGTGCGTGCGCAGTAAAATCACTTAAAATAATGCATTACCACGCATTTTGAATTTAAAAGATAAAAAGGACAGAATGTTTAAGATTTTTTTTTAATTAATTTTTCTTCACCATTTCCCTATATTAGTTATTCTGAACCTTCTCTTCAAATTTGGCCAGTTATTGCAAAATAACCCGGTATATGACCTATAATGTATTTTGAAAATAAGAGGATGTCCTCTATTTTTAAAATATTCATTTTAATGTGTGACAAAATGTGCCACATTAGCAAACTAATACTTACTCATTTATTTTTTATCAAAACTTTCACAGCGGTGTCATATAATGTGTGATTTAATTTTTTAAAGGCTTGCAACCTTATTCCACAAATAGTTTTCGCCATAAAGTTTATACATTTATTGTATTTTTGATGTGGGTTCATTATAAGTGCTTCCTTTCTGTTATATTATATCTTATAGTTTATTTTGTTATTATGCACTGACTTCTAAAATTGTCATATCAATTTTGCACTCTTAATGACATAGTTCAAGTAAGTAACATCATAGGATAGGATTTAATGTCTGATTCTATGTACTCGTTCATATACATGTAATGTTTCGAACTGAAATATATTTAAGTGTGGACTTAGTAAATTTTTACGATATAACTTCTTACTACTACTGAGCTTGATCTCAGATTTTATATATTAAGCAATAAATTATTTTTTCTTTGAAAATGATTCTATGTTTTATTGTATTGGCCGTTTAGGGATTATTCATATTTTTTTCATAAATGTCACCATTCATAATCATAAATTAGAAGAGCTGGGTTGTGAGACATACATATTATGTAGGCTGCTTTCACAAGTTTTTTAAAATGTTCAATTGATTGCACACATCTAATGTGCAGCGGTAAGGAATTCCAGAGCGGAACAGCGAATCATATTGATTACTTCTTTCGAAGAGGCCTGCATCTTAAAATTTTAAGACATAATAATCAATCAGTGAACGGTATTGCTAATTTAGTGTGCAGCGTGATAAATGTCTATTTAATTGAAAAATAAATGCGATGTCTACTCATTAGCGTGTCTAGGGTTATTTTCTAAAGGATACCTGGTACCTGAAAAGCGATAGCTGAATTTACGCAGTAAACACCAAGTGTAATATAGTATGTTGATTCCCCAGCTTTAGATTATTTATTTATTTAGGTATTTCAGTCTTTTTATGTAAAATTATTTAAGTGGCCACCCTAGAATTTTGCTTTGTTGACCCAACACCAACATCCTCTACATACGCCAATACGTTTGCGCAAGCTACTACCTTGAGTGAAATAGTGGAGCTAGTTTCCCAAAAAATTTATTATTTTTGTGTGTCAACACTGGTCATGCTTTTTAAAGGTCAATTTGGCCTTCTGGTTTGTGTATTTTTTATTTAAAATATTCATTAATAATAAAATGTACGGCACATATATTTCCCCTTCGCTGCTCCAGTTTTTTTTTCATGTTCTTTTAATATATACATATTTTTTTTATAGGATAGGGGGCAAACGAGCATGCGACTCACCTGACGGTAAGTGACTACCGCCGCCCAGGAACAACTGCAACACCATGGGAACCAGGGGAATTGCAGATGCGTTGCCGGCCTTTTAATAAGAAGTAAGCTCTTTTCTTGAAGGTCCCTAAGTCGTATCGGTCCGGAAAAATCGCTGGTGGTAATCGATTACACAAGGAAGTTGTGCGAGGAAGAAAACATCTTCTAAATCGTACAGTGGTGGACCGCCAATCATCCAGATGGTGTGGATGGCATCGGGAGATCTGTCGCGATGTGCGAATTTGGCGGCTGGGATTAATCGGAACAATTCCTCAGAGTACTCCTCGTGGTAAATGCGAAAGAAAATGCAAAGAGATGCAACATCTCTTCGCAGCGCTAATGAATCGAGCCGATCGAAAAGGACTCGGTCGTCGGCGATTCGAACCGCTCTGCGCCGGATGCGGTCAAGTGGAAGTAGCTGGCACTGGGGAGCCCCAGCCCAGAGATGGGAATAGTATTCCATGTGAGGCCGAACCTGCGCCTTTTAAAGTTGCAGGCGGTGTGCCGGCATGAAATACTGTCCCGCTCTGCTGAGCACGCCAAGCTTTTTAGAAGCCAATTTGGCCTTCCCTTCCAAGTGACCACGAAACTGCACGTCACTCGATATATCGACGCCGCGGATTCCGATACTGGCTGAGGCAACAAGGGGAGTGCCTTGAAACTGAGGAGATACGACAAAGGGGTTCTTCTTAGCGGTAAACGCGCAAACTTGTGTCTTCTGAGGATTAAACTGGACTAGATTTAGTCGCCCCCAATCCGAGACTGTTCAGCAAAAACTCGACTACACTACTATATGCAGAAGAAACAGCGTTGGTGATAGCACGCAGCCTTGTGAAACAGCAGCGTTAGTAGGCTTGTAGTCGGAGCATGCACCGTCTACAACGACCTTGATGCTCCGATCTGTAAGAAAGCTGGTGATCCAATTGCACAATTTCTCGGGAATCCCATATTAAGCGAGCTTCGAAAGAAGCGCTTTGTGCCAAATCCGATCGAAGGCCTTCGAAATGTTCGAACTATAACGGCCAATGCCTCCTCTTGGACTCTACTGCCTCCGCCCATGTATGAGTCAGGTAGACCAGTAGATTATCAGCTGATCAACACCAACGAAAACCGTATTGGAGGTCACTAATCAGCTAGTGATCCTCAAGGTACCGCATGAGCTGGCAGTTTATAATGGATTCCATTATTTTGGAGAACAAGGAGGTGATGGCGATAGGCCTGTAGTTGGACGGGTCTGAGCGGTTGCCTTTTTTAGGGATCGGGTGGAAAAAAGCTTTCTTTGATTTCGGGACTACGGCTAGGGAGTAGGAGTACCGGAAAAGACGTTAGAACCGGTGCCAAATCCGGAGCACACGTCCTCAGCACAATTGGGGGATACCGGCATGAACACTCGACTTGTGGATGTCCAGGGAGAGGAGTGCTCTGCGAACCGAGCGCTGTGAGAATCGCACATTCGGCATGGAGCACTCACACCGCGGGATGGTCGGCGGTGTGTTCCCCCTGTCATCACGAGTCGAGTTGGACGCAAACAGGGAGTGTAAATGGTCGGCTTTCTCTTTTACGGCTTGGGCTAGTGAGTCGTCTTCCCTGTGCAGAGATGGTAGTGATGGCTTACAGAAATTCCCTTGGACAGCCTTGGCGAGAGATCAGAAAGCACGGGTTCCCGAAGGAAGGCGAACTAGTTTCTCGCCAATTCTGCCTATGTGCTCTGACTTTGCCCCGGCAATAACTCTTTTGAAGAACCCGGAGGCGAAGTTATACTTCTTTTTAAGCATGCTGGTGTTTACATCCCGAGCCACCGAAGCCTAAGCCCAGGCCTGCTAACACTCCTGGTTACTGCGTAATGCAGTCTTACAGGAGCGACCAAACCAAGGCTGAGATCTGCCTCCGATGGGTACCACAGATGATGGAATAAATAGTTCCATTCCCTGTAGCACCACATCAGTGACAGAATCAGCAACAGCGCTGGGATCATCTGGCGAGAAGCAAACCCGCCCGCATGGGTAGGATGCAAAGAAAGACCGCATTCCGTCCCAATCCGCAGACCTGTAATGCCAAACACGGCGGCAACCTGCAGAACGCAACCGCGAGGGGAGCGTGAGTGGCACCACACTCTGGATCAGACAATGGTCCGAAGAGCCGAGAGGGGCATCGACGGAAACCTGATATCCGTCCGGATGAGAGGTCATCAGAAGGCCGAACAGAGAAGGTGTATGATCCTCCACATCTGGAAACCGCGTAGGCGAAGTAACTAAATGTGTTATACTGATCGGTTAAACGTGAATCGAGCCATTCGCCCTGGTGGGCGTTAAAATCGCCAAGGATCACGATCTCTGCGGATGGGACCTGTTGTAGCAAGGAATCTGTAGCCATTTGGACATGGTCGATGACCTACCTATTTAAAAATTTAAATTTTTTGGACATGCATATTTTGGCGTAAAGTTTTTCATTACTTACGAGTTCCTTGTAAACCATTTAGAATAAGGACCCAGCGCAGACGACGCAGAAATATTTGCTGATTACAAATATGTATTTATGTCAATATCGCCCAGATTGCGATAAGTGTGATCCCACGTACATCTCTAAATTAAAAAATAGAGGCGGAAAAAAAAAGTGGAGCTTAGAAGATATTCCCGTTGTTATCTTGAGCTTGTGATATTATTTGGTCCTTAAAAAAAGGAAAAGAAATATTTTTAATAAAAGGTAAAAGCAGACTTTAAACAACTAAAAAAGATTAAATAATTTCACTTCGAAATCCGGGCTTTGATTCTGCTATCCAATATGTCTTAGCATCGCCTT